GGGCAGCGGCGACTCGCGGCGGCGGTGGCGGCGCTGGAAGTTCCCGAGTTCTAGCGTCGCAAGAATGGGAAGCGAGCGAAGCCAAAATGCCCCCGGGGAGCGCGGCCCCACTGGGGAAGGCCGGCGCTTCCACACTCCCCGCTCGCCGAGGCTCCCCCCTAGCCCAGCCCGCTCCCTCGGAGCCAGCCAGGGACCTCGGGGCTCGGCCAGGGGCTTTGGCATCTGCGCGTAAGTGCCACAGTGTCACGCGTTGTTGGTTCTTATTCTTGCAACATCGTGCCCGGGTTCCTGCCGTGGGTCTGGAGCGGGGGGGAAATCCCAGAAAGCCCAAAACAGCCAGAAAGGCGCCTTTCTTCGTTGTTCTCTGGGGCTACCCAGGCGGCTCCGCCTGAGGGGTGAAGGGCTCTCGGGGCGCTCGCTTTGAGAACTTCCCTTTAAAAAAGAAAATAAATAAATAAAAAAGCAAAAACCGAAACAACCAAACAAACCCCGACAGCTGATAACGATTTTATTCATTGCTCTTGCCGCCAACCAGATCAGACATACGGGACTGACGAATCTCCTGCCTTCCAGGAGCGATGGGCAGAGAGGAGGAGTGTTGCCAACGCCAGGACGAGCGATGGATGGTGATGCCTGCAACCTATGGCTGAACTGGAGGTAATTCACTAGCGGATCGATAACCTACCGAAGGTTCCTGAAAGGCTGCAACATTGTACGGAGCCCGGTTAGCGGTTAAATCGTTTCTTTATTTAATATTTGCTAGCTTGAGGATACTGAATAAAACGTTCTGGTTTGTGCTCTGTTTCTTTACTGCTTACAGGAAAAAAGAAAATAAAAACTAAGCAGATGTCTACTGATAATTAGCTTTTTAAAAAATCCATATCTGGTGAAGGATTTAAAGGAGCATGATCGGTTGTCTTTATGTTTTGCAACGTGTCTGCGCTTTTTCAGGTCGAGTTTGGGCCTTGCAAGAACGAATGTGTTTGTGCACAATAAGAATGAATTTAGCAGGGATCAGTGTAAACAGGAGAAGCTGTAATTTTTTAATGTTCCTTTAGCCTCAGTTATTAACTGATGCAACTTGTGAAGCAAAGACAAAAGTATATTTGAAATTATATAGAAACTAGACAAAGAACTATTTTTTTACTGTACATAAAACCCCCTGAAATTCTCAACTATCTAACTTCCAACAAAATTAAATTTGAACATTTCTGTGCAGCTGGGTAGCAGAGGGTAACATGAGTTGAGCATTTTTATACGTGTTTCCAATGCCTGCAAGCTCAGTGTATGAGCTTGAGCTTTGTGCTTGACATGGTGAGAAAGCTTCGATGCAATCACACTTCTGCTTTATTGAAGAAATGTTACCCTGAAAGGTTAAAGGAAGGAGGCTAAAATATCACTTATTTCTATTGTCTTATTATAAAAATTATTTTTATATAGTGGATGTCTAGATGCTGTGCATTTTTTACACACAATTATACCATGTCCTAAAAAATAATTAAAATCCTAATCTAGAAATTGTTATCATAAGGGTAAATGTATTTTGTAGGAGACATTCTTTTTTTAAAAAAAAAGCAAGACTGTATGTACTCGATTTGATTGCTACATCTGTAGCAATAATCACTATGTATTTAAAAATGTGCATGTATCTCCCTTTCCCCAGATTTGTAACAATAACCACTCTGATTCAGCTTCATTTTAAATCCACACTTCAAGTAATTGAAACGGAAATGAAAGCATATTTAATGTCTAATAAAGATTTTAAAAATAAAGTGACTTGAATCTTTTCTTAGCGATGTAAAATACGTATTGTAATATCTTTTGTAGGTGATTCTCACAACAAAGGGCTACATGAATAATGTGATTAACATTTTAATTTCCCTTGATGTTTACATAAAAGAAAGTATACTGAAGTATGACATCACTGAAACTGTAAACCAAGCAATAGAGAAATTTTAACAGTTAAGGAGTTTGAAAGTAGAGGAAAAACTCTCCTAGATATATTGACTCTGCTTGTTCTTTTGGCAACTCACAACTTTTTCTGTTGTAGTTCAAAATACAGCCCACAGCACGAAAAAGTTCTCGGTGTTTTGACAATAAAATAAGGATTGTGTCTTTTATTTAATTTTTTTAGATCACCAGCCAAAATGAAATCATAGTCCCAGACTTGAGCTTGAGCACTGCATACTACAAGAAATATTTAATAAACAGCTTTAAAAAACATACATTCCACTTTCTTTTTACAGATGAAATCTGATGGGGTTTTTTTTATGTGTGGCACAACAAGAAAGTCACACACAAGAGAAAATACCTAATTATTATTGTTTGATGATACATGTTAGAATGAGTCCTACAAATTCCTACAACACAACAGTAACAAAGATTCCATTAATTTTTCTGAGATTTTTAAAGGGTTTTTTTATTCTTTCAGTTAAAATTAAGTTTTTTTTTATAATGTACACAAGTGGAGAAAAATATAATCTCTGAATTTTTACTGTCTTTATTGTTTTGCTTTCTAATAATCCCTTTTTGTTCACATGATCTTTTCACCTTACATTATTCTAAAATAAAATACATCAGTGCTGCTTTGTCAGCAAGATTTAGTGTTTTCAGGAGAAATTACTCAGAAAGGTCTTCATTAAAAATAGGAAAAAATAGCAATGGAATTATTTTATTTTGTGACTTTCAAATGTTAATATTCACACACAATTGCTAAATTAATTTTACAAAAAAATAAGAGGAATAATAAAGTTTCATAGATTTTCCTGTTGCTGTAGATTTTACGCATCAGCTATACTAAGCAAGGGACTGATCCCAAGAATTGCTGGTTTGGGATGTCTTTTCTTACCCTAACTTGGCCTTTTTTTTTTCTTCTTCCATCCTCCTCTTCCCCCCCTAAAAAGTTCTATAAGCTCTATAAGTATCCAAATACAGATATATTAGAATTCTCTTTAATTACTGGATAGCTTTGACAGATAAGAATGTAGTGTCTTTGGTTCCTTCTTGAATTTTCTGGTTTCTTTCTGCACTTTTGGAATTGGTTGGTTGGAGGGTTTGGGGTAGGGTTTTTTGTTTGTGGGTTGTTTTTTTTTTAATGATATATTTTAGCCAGTGTTTTTCTTGTGTCAGTATGATTTTATACCTTGTGCACAGAAAATACATTATTTGGACCCTAGTAGCAGCAGTACTTGACATGAAAAGTCTTTCTGTTTCTTTTGAAATTTGCTCTTCTCCTTTTCTCTAGAGACAAAGAAAAGTATTTAGGGTTTGTAAATTGTCAAGCTGAACAATGTAGCTGAATATTTGAAGAATGATATGGGCAGGGGGTGGCTGAGAGCAACATAAAGCAGTGACTAAGCTTGCCCTGGGTTTGTTTGGTTGGTTGGTTACTTGAACAGGGCTTTTTTGGTGGGTTTTCTCCACCTCACGGAGAATTATCACTAGTTGCTTGTTCATTCTTATTCTTGAAACCAGCCATAAACCTTACAAGGGCAAGAAGTGTGATGAGGGCTTGTGAGGCCAGCAACAGTTTTTATTATTATCACTTGTGTTAACTTCATGCAGAAGGAACCATACATGCTAAAATACAATACTACTATGAGCAAATTCCTTCTGTAGTTTCAAACAATAACTTGGAGCTTCACATCAAAATTCATTTAAATACTCACTTGTTCGTGCTTCATGCCAAGAATACCTCCATATATTTTCTGCACCCTGCATTGGTAACTCACCTGAACTTGCTACTATGAAGTTTGTAATACAGTGCTTACCTGCTTTGTATTCTGCCCTTATCTGATATTAAATAGTGAATATTAAAATTATACAATATTTTTATTCTATTCTAATATTTTATTCTATTCTAATTATAATTATAGAATGTTTCTATTCTTTATTTCCCATTTCAATGTGCTCTTTACCACAGAACATGCATGTCTTCCCACTCCACTATTTTTGAAAATATTTCCTGTTACTCTTGCTTCTCACTGGTGGTGAAGAGGAGCATAGAACTAGGCATCTGTATTACCCAAACCACTCTCAGCCCAGACAAATTAACATTTTTAAGAAAGGACACAAATAGATTAGGCTCTGAAAAATGTTTTCTATCTGTTTTCCTCCCCAGCAGCTGGAAGAGTAAAGTAAAATCACAACACTTACGAAGACAACATTAACTTTTGTGCAAAAACAAATAATTAGTTGCAAATCTACTATCGGGCTTTTAAAAGTAGATCTATATGTCATTTATATTTTGAGCAGTAAATGAGCCTTGTTGGAGCTCATCCAATGAACCTAAAAACCTCTTCAATATGCAGTTACCCAAATAAATATGATTTGCACCAGCCATGACATTCTTTCAGTTTCACTGTTACATCTTTGAGTACAAAACCTTCCCTTACAAAGAGAAACTAAGAATAAGGCCTATGTTATTCCCACTGAATAGAGGAATTCAACTGGTTCATGCTGAGGATTTTGTTTGGGTTTGTTTTGTTTTGTTTTAAAGCAAATTTATTTGTGCTCCTCTATTTTGTAAAAGACTTTCAATTAAATTTCCTGGATCAGTTTGACAATTCAACTATGCTGAATACATTTCCCAACCATCCAGAGGATATTGAGAAAAATATTAAACTGCTGTACTTAATTGTTTGCCATTGGGCTTTTCTTCACAGAGACTCTTGGATATTTGCCATATCTATTTTCACGTCTATTTGATGTCAGCAAAGTTTTCTGAATCTTCAAAGGATTATGTAGAAGGTTTTTTAAAGGAAGCTTTGAAAAAATTAATACACAGGGTATATTTTAGGGTAGGGCTACTCAATAATGAAAACAGGAGCTATGTGGCTTTGTATATTGACAATTATTTGCTTAGATTATTACTTCTACAAAAAATTTCAAAATGTTTGCTGTTATTCACTTCACAGTAAAGTGTTCCAGTATGCTAAGGCAATTTTTGTTGAGCAGAGATTCTCAAAATAAGGTGTATCATTCTTTTGTTTCAATGGTTTCATATTAGTGCTCTGAGTCCAAGAAGACTTATTTGAAGTCTTAAGTGACAAATTTTATTTAAATTGGTAAATTATGTAGTTAATTAAGGCACAATTTAATAGTGGCCTTCAGCTACTGTTTGTCTTTCCATTTCTCTAAATGAAAATTTAGATTTCAGATTAACCAAGTTTAAGAGCCATTTCCAGTTAGGGGTTTGGATTTGATTTTTTCATTTACTGTAGCAGCCTGTTAGAAATAAAACTTTTTAAAATACAGATGAGAGGTTATTTGCCTGATTTTCAAAATGATCCTGGCTATCAGTAGCTTTGGTATAGACTTGGAATTTCTCTGAGTTAATACAATAGACTATTAAAGATTTACATCTATGTAATAACTTAAAGGATTCTGTTATATTGTTATCAGATATATAGTCTGATAAACTTGCTAACATGCAATTTAGATAAAAATAGAGGAGGCCATAAGAAATACTAGTGAGATCTACTAAGAGAAGACATGAGCAGAACAAAGTGGGTAAAATTTCATGATGTTACATTCAAAATAATCAGTTGAAGAAATTATATGAGTCATTTATGCTCCTTATGGGTTCCAAACCAATATAAGGGGGAGGAAAAAACCCTCAATTTGATAGCCAGTAGCAAATGTTTTAAAAAGACCATTCTGTTTATTACATATTCAACATTGAGAATATAGTAATTTTTTTCCTAGAACTCTAATATGAAGTCAGTGAAACAAAACAATAATACATCTTCTGTTGTAATACTGCATTAGGTCTTTCACCTTATCTCAAAAAAATGGAGTTCAGGAGAAAATTAGGACCAATGAAAAAGTACTCTAGGAATAGGATTAAATACCAAGGAAAAGGAATAAAATACATGGAGGAAGTCATATTTAATAAAATACAAAATTTCTCTGTTTCAGAGAAGATAAAGCAAAACCCTCTATAAAATTTAGGGCACAGTTCAAGAATTTAAACACGAAAAATTTCAAATTAAAAACTATGGTTTTTTCTCAAAAATGTAACAAAATATAGCCATTCTGGCTTCACTTTTGCCTCAAGTTTCAATGGCAAGAATTTTAGCAGTCTTCAGAAGAACTGATACCTATAGGTAAGAATAGCCAGTGATAGTACAGATACAGTATTATAAAGATTGTTAGTCTGATACAACAAAGCCTTGCTCTGTTGCCAGCCTAAAGACAATCCTTAGTTTTCCCAAGTGTTTCCTTCTAATGTTGCTTTATTTTAGACCTACCAAGCATTTTTATTTCTATAGAGTTGAAATACCTACTTTCCCCCAAACAGCAACCATGTAGAGTGAGTAGTACCAATATTTGCACTTACAGTAAAAATTCAGGGCTGTTAGCATTGAGCCATTTGGCTGACAGTGCCTACTTTGTGTAGCATATGTGATTTGTCAGTCATCCATGAAATACACATCACTGAGATTCTGATCTCCATTTATTGTTCAGTCTTCTGAGAAAATACTGGTCTGCTGATCCAGATTTCTCAACATTTTGTATTCTTGTATAGCATCTACTTGGTGCCTTGAAAGGATTATTTTAATTTTTCAGTTTTCCCAGCTGTGGTGAGACACATAGGCGTGGTGTACTAATTGAGATACAAATTGTGTAAGATAACTGCTGATACAAAATAATTGAACCAAGCTCTTGATTTTACAGGTTGTAGAGTACCAGAGTCAAGAAGCGTGATCAGACCACAAATGATCTCTGCATATTCATGACACTGGTTGTGTATTTTGTTTGCTTCCTTGTT